TATGGGGTCGGATATGTCTCCTTCTATGCATTACACATTTCATGACAAAATTATAATATCCTCTGCAAAACATAGATTTAAACAACGAGCACGACTATTTCAGAAAACTAAACAAATTTAGATACGAGCTATAACCACAAATCGAAGTACACGCCATAGAAAATCGAATAATACCTTATGTGGAATATGTTGATTTGTACACTCACGCCTCTGGGATAAGAAATTATTGGGAGGTTGAGACTTGCCGTTAGAGTACAGAAAAGTACATATGAATATTCAAAATTGGCGGATATGTATACGTGTGCATGCCTGTGTAATATTCCACCGCTGCAAGCTTAAAAGAGTAGCCAAAATCAATATTGCGATAAAAATATGTTATGACTCAAAGATTGTGCTGGGCCGGACTACGAAAAAAATTGTTCTAGCCATACAAAAATGGTTCCAATTAAATTTTACTACTTCAAGCATACTATGCGGCATGAACACGATATATATTCATTTAAAATAAACTGATTGCATTCGATTCCACCATTCCTAGTTGTTATAGATGCATTTCAATATGTGGATTTTATTAGAAGACATTTAAAAAAATACGTGGTAAATTTATGGATTATCCAAAGTTGGTAAAAAAGTTAAATCATACACATGACATTCAATACCGTAATCAATTTTCTTCAGTTTTACTTTTATAATAAAAGGTAATATAATATTTCCAACAATACCTAATTTTTTTTAAGTAATTAATTTACTAGATTATTTTGGATATGTGTAATAGTTATTTCGGCATGGAATATGGGCTCGATTTTCCTTCTCACGGTGACAAGATTTCATACAGATTCGACAAGTATAGGAGTAACGACTACGTATATTCATTGGTCTAACACTTTTCCCTCAACCAGTATATGTCTTATAAAAAATAAGATAACCAATGATTTTATAGAAGCTTTAAAGAAACGCACCACTAAGAACAAACCTCTTGCAAGTACTTATATAAAAACTATATTTGACTACCTGTTTGTAAGCTCCGAAAACAGTAATATTAAAGAAGTATATTGTAAAGGCTATAATTCCACATGTGGTGTTAATATTTTGGAAATGCGAAGAGAGGTATGTACTTTCGATTATATACAGACATTAGTACAATGAAATAAGTAGTCTCGCCTTTATCGAATGTTTTAATATGTTTTTTTTACCCTGAACCCATTGAAAATGGGTAAAAACTGTATATTGTATTTGTGCAAAATGCAAATGTATGTCAAAGGCAGAAGAAGGCATCTCCGACCCCAAAAAGTATAGATATTCTTGATCAGCATCAATAGTCCAGTCGATATAGCCATGTCCGTTTATCTGTCCGTCCGTCCGTCCGTCCGTCCGACCGTCCGTATATATGAACGCAAGGATCTCAGAACCTATAAGAGCTAGAGACTTGAAATTTTAGATGTAGGTGCTCCTAATGCCTGCGCAGATCGAGTTTGTTTCCGATAATCTATAACTTACTCCGTTTCCAAGCAATCGATAAAAATCGATATCTTATTTTTTGGGCAATTTTGGTAAATAGTAAGAGCTAGAGTCACCAAACTTGACATATAGCTTATAAAATAGAATATATATATGCATTTGATGTTGGGAGAAGAGGGTTCAGGGTATCCTCTAGTCGGGAGCACCCGACTAGAACCTCTCACTTATTTTATCATAACCACTTAATTATTGGTGTGTCTGCTAAGTAGAGGCATAGCAAGTGGTACGGTCTATCGCGAGATCGAGCCCTACCGGGAAAGTATTTTTTATACCCTGAACCCATTAAAAATGGGTATAAGGGTATATTGTATTTGTGCTATATCCAAATGCATGTAACAGGCCGTAACCCTGAACCCATTAAAAATGGGTATAAGGGTATATTGTATTTGTGCTAAATCCAAATGCATGTAACAGGCCGAAGGAAGCATCTCCGACCCCATAAAGTATATATTCTTGATCAGCATCAATAGCCGAGTCGATCTAGCCATGTCCGTCCGTCTGTCCGCCCGTCCGTCCGTCCGTATATATGAACCCATTTTAGATGTAGGTGCTCCTAGTGCCTGCGCAGATCGAGTTTGTTTCCGATAATCGATAACTTACTCCGTTTACAAGCAATCGCTAAAAATTGTTATCGATATCCTGCTTTTTTTTGGGCAATTTTGGTAAGTAATAAGAGCTAGAGTCACCAAACTTGACGTATAGCTTCTGAAATAGAATATATATATGCATTAGATGTTGGCAAATGAGGGTTCAATATCCCCTAGTCGGGAGCTCCCGACTAGAACATCTTCCTTGTTTTATACCCTTGCAGAGGGTATTATAATTTTTTCGTGAAATGTGTAACGCATAGAGGGAGACATCTCCGACCCCATAAAGTATATATATTCTTGATCAGCATCAACAGCCGAGTCGATATAGCCATGTCTGTCTGTCCGTCTGACCATCTGTCCGTCTGTCTGTTTCTATGCGATCTAGTCCCTCGATATCGTGAAAAAACAAAAAATGTTTTCATACTACTTAATTTTCGGCCTATCGCTGCTATGGCAGCTATATGATATAGAGGTCCGATCTTAATAGAATTTTGCGTATATTTGAGGAGCATAGAAAAACTTATAAATGCCAAGTTTGATCAAGACATCGTGAAAAACAAAAAATGTTTCCATATATGAACTTAATTTTCGACCGTTCTCTCCTATGGCAGCTATATAATAAAGTGGTCCAATTTTAATAGGTTTTTGCATAGATATAAGGAGCATAGTTAAACTAATAAATGCCGAGATTGATACAGATATCTTGATAAACAAGATTTTCCATACAACAATTTAATTTTCAACTGATCGTTCCTATGGCAGATGTATAATATAGTGGTCCGATGCTGATAGGATTTTGCATATATTTGGGGAGCATAGTTAAACTAAGAAATGCCGAGTTTGGTTAACATATCTCGATAAATTAAATATTTTCAGTCAACATCTTAATTTTCGACCGATCGTTCCTATGGCAGCTATATGATATAGTGGTCCAAATCGTTTGTAATGTTAGTATCACGACTTCGTCGAGAGTGTTCTCTCGGTTTTATTCAATTTTATATTTTGCTTATTACATACAATATTTTAAGTGAGCTCTGCCGCTAAGAACGTTTTTTATACCCTGAACCCATTGAAAATGGGTAAAAACTGTATATTGTATTTGTGCAAAATGCAAATGTATGTCAAAGGCAGAAGAAGGCATCTCCGACCCCAAAAAGTATAGATATTCTTGATCAGCATCAATAGTCCAGTCGATATAGCCATGTCCGTTTGTCTGTCCGTCCGTCCGTCCGTCCGTCCGTTTCGCGGTCCGATCTTGATAGGAATTTGCATATATATGGGGAGCATAGTTAAACTTAGAATTGCCGAGTTTGATCAAGACATCTTGAAAATCAAAAAATGTTTCCATACAACAACTTAGTTTTCGACCGATCTCTCCTATGGCAGCTATATGATATAGTGGTCCAATCTTAACAGAATTTTGCATACATATAAGGATCATAGTAAAACTAATAAATGCCGAGTTTGATCAAGATATCGTGAAAAACAAAAATTTTTTTCCATGCAACAATTTAATTATCGACAGATCGGTCCTATGGCTGCTTAATCATATATCATATATCATATAACATATATCATATATCATATATCATATATCATATATCATAAATCATAAATCATAAATCATATATCATATATCATATATCATATATCATATATCATATATCATATATCATATATCATATATCATATATCATATATCATATATCATATATCATATATCATATATCATATATCATATATCATATATCATATATCATATATCATATATCATATATCATATATCATATATCATATATCATATATCATATATCATATATCATATATCATATATCATATATCATATATCATATATCATATATCATATATCATATATCATATATCATATATCATATATCATATATCATATATCATATATCATATATCATATATCATATATCATATATCATATATCATATATCATATATATATCATATATCATATATCATATATCATATATCATATATCATATATCATATATCATATATCATATATCATATATCATATATCATATATCATATATCATATATCATATATCATATATCATATAGTTACACACATTGGTCCAATCCAGCTGGTTCCCGCTTGTACTGCATGATACCCAAAGAGGCACTTTTGATTTTAGCTTTTAAACTGGGAGACCATTTTGCATCTAAACAAACAGACGGACAGACGGAGAAGTGGACATGGCTGCTTCGACTCGACTATTGATTCTGATCAAGAATATATATACGTTATGGGGTCGGATATGTCTCCTTCTATGCATTACACATTTCATGACAAAATTATAATATCCTCTGCAAAACATAGATTTAAACAACGAGCACGACTATTTCAGAAAACTAAACAAATTTAGATACGAGCTATAACCACAAATCGAAGTACACGCCATAGAAAATCGAATAATACCTTATGTGAAATATGTTGATTTGTACACTCACGCCTCTGGGATAAGAAATTATTGGGAGGTTGAGACTTGCCGTTAGAGTACAGAAAAGTACATATGAATATTCAAAATTGGCGGATATGTATACGTGTGCATGCCTGTGTAATATTCCACCGCTGCAAGCTTAGAAGAGTAGCCAAAATCAATATTGCGATAAAAATATGTTATGACTCAAAGATTGTGCTTGGCCGGACTACGAAAAAAATTGTTCTAGCCATACAAAAATGGTTCCAATTAAATTTTACAACTTCAAGCATGCTATGCGGCATGAACACGATATATATTCATTTAAAATAAACTGATTGCATTCGATTCCACCATTCCTAGTTGTTATAGATGCATTTCAATATGTGGATTTGATTAGAAGACATTTAAAAAAATACGTGGTAAATTTATGGATTATCCAAAGTTGGTAAAAAAGTTAAATCATACACATGACATTCAATACCGTAATCAATTTTCTTCAGTTTTACTTTTATAATAAAAGGTAATATAATATTTCCAACAATACCTAATTTTTTTTAAGTAATTAATTTACTAGATTATTTTGGATATGTGTAATAGTTATTTCGGCATGGAATATGGGCTCGATTTTCCTTCTCACGGTGACAAGATTTCATACAGATTCGACAAGTATAGGAGTAACGACTACGTATATTCATTGGTCTAACACTTTTCCCACAACCAGTATATGTCTTATAAAAAATAAGATAACCAATGATTTTATAGAAGCTTTAAAGAAACGCACCACTAAGAACAAACCTCTTGCAAGTACTTATATAAAAACTATATTTGACTACCTGTTTGTAAGCTCCGAAAACAGTAATATTAAAGAAGTATATTGTAAAGGCTATAATTCCACATGTGGTGTTAATATTTTGGAAATGCGAAGAGAGGTATGTACTTTCGATTATATACAGACATTAGTACAATGAAATAAGTAGTCTCGCCTTTATCGAATGTTTTAATATGTTTTTTTTACCCTGAACCCATTGAAAATGGGTAAAAACTGTATATTGTATTTGTGCAAAATGCAAATGTATGTCAAAGGCAGAAGAAGGCATCTCCGACCCCAAAAAGTATAGATATTCTTGATCAGCATCAATAGTCCAGTCGATATAGCCATGTCCGTTTATCTGTCCGTCCGTCCGTCCGTCCGTCCGTCCGTATATATAAACGCAAGGATCTCAGAACCTATAAGAGCTAGAGACTTGAAATTTTAGATGTAGGTGCTCCTAATGCCTGCGCAGATCGAGTTTGTTTCCGATAATCTATAACTTACTCCGTTTCCAAGCAATCGATAAAAATCGATATCTTATTTTTTGGGCAATTTTGGTAAATAGTAAGAGCTAGAGTCACCAAACTTGACATATAGCTTATAAAATAGAATATATATATGCATTTGATGTTGGGAGAAGAGGGTTCAGGGTATCCTCTAGTCGGGAGCACCCGACTAGAACCTCTCACTTATTAAAATTATGATAAATCATAACCACTTAATTATTGGTGTGGCTGCTAAGTAGAGGCATAGCAAGTGGTACGGTCTATCGCGAGATCGAGCCCTACCGGGAAAGTATTTTTTATACCCTGAACCCATTAAAAATGGGTATAAGGGTATATTGTATTTGTGCTAAATCCAAATGCATGTAACAGGCCGTAACCCTGAACCCATTAAAAATGGGTATAAGGGTATATTGTATTTGTGCTAAATCCAAATGCATGTAACAGGCCGAAGGAAGCATCTCCGACCCCATAAAGTATATATTCTTGATCAGCATCAATAGCCGAGTCGATCTAGCCATGTCCGTCCGTCTGTCCGCCCGTCCGTCCGTCCGTATATATGAACCCATTTTAGATGTAGGTGCTCCTAGTGCCTGCGCAGATCGAGTTTGTTTCCGATAATCGATAACTTACTCCGTTTACAAGCAATCGCTAAAAATTGTTATCGATATCCTGCTTTTTTTTGGGCAATTTTGGTAAATAATAAGAGCTAGAGTCACCAAACTTGACGTATAGCTTCTGAAATAGAATATATATATGCATTAGATGTTGGCAAATGAGGGTTCAATATCCCCTAGTCGGGAGCTCCCGACTAGAACATCTTCCTTGTTTTATACCCTTGCAGAGGGTATTATAATTTTTTCGTGAAGTGTGTAACGCATAGAAGGAGACATCTCCGACCCCATAAAGTATATATATTCTTGATCAGCATCAACAGCCGAGTCGATATAGCCATGTCTGTCTGTCCGTCTGACCATCTGGCCGTCTGTCTGTTTCTATGCGATCTAGTACCTCAGTTTTAAAGCTATCTTAATGAAACTTTGCAGAAGTCCCTTTTCTGTTGCACGCGGCACATATGTCAAAACCAGCTGGATCGGACAACTATATCATACAGCTGCCATAGGAATGATCGGTCGAAAATTAAGTTTTTGTATGAAAAAACATTTTGTTTATCAAGATATCTTGACCAAGCTCGGCAATAACTATTTTCCCTGTGCTTCTTGGATACGGGCAAAGCACTATAAGCATTATAAAAAGGTTGAGTCTGCAAGGGCATTAGATCTTCGGCGTGCCGAAGATTGCCTTTCTTTCTCGTTCTTATATAATTTGTATTAAGCCATGAACCAATTAGGGTTTTTCTGGGTTTAATCCTAGAACTAGTTTTTAAAAATAACTATTTCTGGACAAATGTGGATCATTAATATTGTTCCCAGAAGACACAACTTCTTTTTAGAAGAAACTGTATTGTAACATTTTCAATTATAATTAAAAAGGTCAATGTATCTTTTGAGGAGGCGTGTTGGAATAATGAGTTTTGAAATACACACAAACACATTCATACAAAAGGTACAATGACCAAGTAGGCTTTTGTTATTTTCAGTTTTGATTCTGAAATGCTTTTATAGCTTAGCCTCACTCTGCTCTGAACCTTAGAGAGTAAAACAAGTTTACGTGCCCAGAAAAGTAAATTAATAAATATTGAGATCAACTAAACCAAACAAAGTATATTATTTAATTTAATTTAACACATTTCAATAGAAGCATTTTGGGGGATGGTGTAGGAGGGCAAATTACCTGCTAGCTTTGGAAGAACATAAGCCGAGGTTTCAATATGAACCCGGGGCGTTATCGAAGAGCCGATATTAAAACAAGTAAGAGGTTCTAGTCGGGAGCTCCCGACTAGGGGATACCCTGAACCCTCTTCTTCCAACATCAAATATATATATATATATATATTCAATTTTAGTAGCTTTATGTCAAGTTTGGTGACTCTAGCCCTTATTATTTACCAAAATTGATCAGAATATATATACTTTATGGGGTCGGAGATACTTCATTCTGCCTGTTACATACATTTGGATTTTGCACAAATACAATATACCCCTATACCCATTTTTAACGGGTTCAGGGTATAAAAAGACGTATGCTTATTGTTTGGTAATTGTTAAGCTCAAGAAGCAGCACGTTTATTCTAAACGCCGCTCAGTGGAAACTTCTTAACTTATAATTATTTTTTATAAATTTTTATAAGAATAAAGAAGAATAATGCATGTGATTGTATTTCATTAATTAAACGCATTTCGATGGCAAAGTGGAAACATACAAAAATATAAAAGTGGCTCAAAATCTCAGATCTTGATATTTTACAACCCTGATGTTGTTTACTTTTTGCACTTGCCAATTAATTGAAAAAAATGAATATTGTCACCAATTGACCGCGCAAGAATACTCCCGGACACATATCCCTCCGTAGCGCATAGGTGACCTATGGCGCATTTATTTAAATAAATGCCAATATTCCAACGCTTGGCCCACATTTCAAATTTGTGAAGATATTGCTGCAGGACATCGGTAGCTTCGTAGACACATTCATTTCTTGATAAGATGGCTGTGTCATCTGCAAAGGTGGCGATGGTAAGGTCGTGTGGATCCGCGCTTTCAATTGTAGAGCCAGTGGGCATGTCGTAGGTAAAGAGGGTGTAGAGCGTGGGCCCTAGCACACTCCCTTGAGGAACGCCAGCCCCGATGGCCTTCATTTTGGACTCAACTCCATCGAGTACTAACGAAAATGACCGGTTTGTCAAATAACTTTGCTCAATCAAATATAGTTGAGGTGGCAACAAGGGCTTGATTTTGCAGAGAAGTCCATCATGCCAGACTCTGTCGAAGGCTTGTTTTATATCTAAGTACGCTGCCACTACTTACTCTTTGGCTTCGAAACCCTCGAGGATAAAATTCACCACCCTATTTAGCTGTTCCGGTGTGCCATGAGATTATCAGAACCCGAACTGAAAGGGGGGAATTTTTTCTTTAATTTTAGCCATAGACATCAGTCTCGTAAGCAGACAACGTTCGAAGAGTTTACCAATCGTGGGCAACAAACTAATAGGCCTGTATGACTCTAGGGGCGAGGGGCTTTTTCGAGCCTTATGGATCATGCATATCCTCGCCTTTTTCCATTGGCTTGGAACATGCCCCACTCTCAATACCGCATTAATGATTAACACAAAAATAGGACTACTCTGACCGGCAATGCTTTAAGTTCTATGTTGTCGATCCCATCTTCGCCAGGAGCTTTTTTTGTCTTAAGTGCTGCTATGTGGTCTGATACTTCGTTGGCAGAGATAGGAGCAACTGGGAGGCTGAGCTGGCCTGGGCTTTCCAGTGTGAGTTGAACCCTCCCGTTCATGCTTGCCGAGCTTGTATTAAAAGGCTTGAAGCGATCCTCCAAGTCTGCGGCGAATGCATCAGCCCGTCCCTTTGGGGATCTGGCCCAAGATTCATCAGGCGTTTGTACCTTCTCGTCAGTCTCCATAGGGAGTGTCTTGAAGATTCATCTGGAGAAACATTTTCCAAAAAACGGTCGGTTTCCCTTTGTCTAATCAGCTGAAGCAGCTTTTTTACGGTTCGACACTCTGCGATAGATCCTGTCCACAATTGGATCTCCGGTTCCACTGTACTGCCTTCTAATCCTTCTCTTAATCAGCAGAAGTGTATAGATTGCTGGCGGAAGTCTTACTTGTGGTCGTGAGCTTTCAGATCGGCGTACTGGCGCAGAAATGAGGGCTGCCGAGTGAACCTTGTTCAGGAATAGCGCATATACATCTTTGATGTCTTCTTCTGCAAGTATTTCCAAGTTTAGGTCTAGAGTTTCCTCTAGATCTCGTCGAAAAGCAGCAATGTTGGCTCCAGGAGGCAGCAGGCGACCTTTAATTGTTTTGCCCTTTGGAAAACAGTTGTAACCATCTACTAGTGGGATATAATCAGAGGATAGCTGAAACTCAGGCCTTATACTTAAGCCATCTGGTTAATGTCCGTTATAAATAAAGAAGTCAATGGCACTCGGCGTGTAACTTTGGGCAAACGGGAAATGAGTGGCTTGTCCAGTCGCTAGTATTTCAGATGATAAGTTTTGCACCGCGTCCAATAAGCAGGTGCCTAAAGCAACCCCAGCATCTGTTTTTGGCGTTCAAATCGCCTCCCATAAGGAACATTTTTCCTAGTCCACTGAAAAGTTGTTGGAACTCCATTGCTGACCACGACAGTTGCGGCGGGAGATATGCCGAAGCAATGGTTGATTCACTCCTGCTAGTTGCAATCTGGATGCTAGCCATTTGTAATTTCTCCATCCTTACCGGTTCAACTTGGGAATATTCAATCTCCTGCTTAATAAGCACAGCCGCCCTCCTCTTGCTCTGTTGCTAGGATGATCAGCTTTGAATTTTGTAGCCTGGAATAAAGATGGATACACCGGCATGTAGCTAGGTCTCTGTAATTAGCATCACATCAATATTATGTTCAGTTAGGAAGTGCTTAAGCTCCTCCACATGCCCAGAGATACCACGGGCATTCCACAATCCGAGGCTTAGTGAACTCTGCATCATTTTTTGGCGTT